AAGGAAGGAAGGAAGGAAGGAAGGAAGGAAGGAAGGAATTAACTTGTCCAAAGGAATCAGTTATTCATTGGGTGCAAAAAGCCATTGGCATGGGGATGGGCAGTCAGAGAAAAACCTTGTGTAGTTGCCTCTCTCCTTCCACCTTCTCCTGGCTTCTGGATACCAAGTGTTACCATCCTCAGACTTGTACAGTAGGGAGTACTCTGTATGTAACTCACTCTGTAGACCAGGCTGGCATCAAACTCGAGAAATACACCTGCCTCTGCCTCCCAAGTGCTGGGATCAAAGCCATGCTTCACTACATCCAACTCTGTTTCTTTTCTTTTAAAACAGGTCTTGCTTCTGAGTCTAGACTCTCCTCAAGTCTGTGCTTCTGCCTCAGCTTCTCCAGTGCTGGGCTACAGGCAGGCACCATGATGCCAACGCACATCCCTCCCGGTAAGCCACTTCCTAGTGCTCCTGTCAGCAGACCAATCCCACTCCTTTCTCGGTCAGACTGAGTTTGCCCAATGTACTAGGTAAAGTCTAACCACTTTGGGTTACACACAAAATCTTTCTTTCTTTCTTTCTTTCTTTCTTTCTTTCTTTCTTTCTTTCTTTCTTTTTTAATTGGTTTTTGAAACAGAATTTTTCTGTATAGTCCTGGCTGTCCTGGAACTCAACTCTGTAAATCAGGCTGGCTTCAAAATCAGAGATCCACCTGTCTCTGTCTCCCAAGTGCTGGGACGAAAGACATGGGCCACCACTGCCTAGCTCACACAAAATCTTTTATTGGATGTCATTGATTGTGGCTTATACCTAGAAGGAGTGAACCAATGCCTACAAGTTGTCCTCTGACCGCCACAAGTATGCTGTGGGGGTCATACACATGCTCACACACACATGAACAGTCACAAGTAACTAAGTAGCTGTAATTAATTAATTAAAAGACTGTCCATGCATTTCTACTTCCTGCTTTGGACTATTTACCCACTCAGCATTTCTTTCCTACCCCGGCCACACTGAGCCTGGGAAGTTCCTAAACATGACATCATAGTTCCTTCCCATCTATATGTCTGTGTGTCTGCTGCTCCCTTTGCCTGGAGTGGCTAAGCATTCTAAAAACTTAGGTTTAGATGCTGTATCCTTGAGAGGTCTTCCTTTACCAACTTTCCTTCCGTTCTACTTCTCACACTGACTGACTCTTTTACGTCTGTATCCTTGTTAGACATACTGTCAGCAACTTAAGGGGAAGGCCAAGAGCCTGGAAAAGTTGCTACCAGAACCACAGCAAAATAATAGGGCTTTTCTGTGATTAGGGTAGGGAGTGAAAATGAGAAAATGGTGGTGCACTCCCCTTCACTCAGAAGGCAGAGGCAAGAGGATCTCTGTAAGTTCGAGACCAGCTTGGTCTACATAGTGAGTTCTAGGATAATCAAAATTACATGGAAAGATCCTGTCTCAAAAAACGAGCAAACAAATAAACAAACAAACCAAAACAAAGTGCTAGTGAGAACAGAAGACAATGCAAAGCTCCAGTTGTAAGACTATAAAGTGGGGGCTGGAGAGATGGTTCAGCAGTTAAGAGCACTGACTGCTCTTCCAGAGGTGCTGAGTTCAATTCCCATGGAGGCTCACAAGCATCTGTAATGGAGTCTTGTGCTCTCTTCTGGTGTGTCTGAAGAGAGCAATTGTGGTGTACACATATGCATTAAATAAATAAATAAATAAATAAATAAATAAATAAAATCTTAAAAAAAAGATTTACCATAGAGCTATCCTATATTCCATGTGTGACTATACTCTCAATAGTACTAAAATATATGTCCACACAAAAACTAGTGTTAAGGACTAGAGAGATGGCTCAGTGGTTAAGAGCACCATCTGGTCTTTCAGAGGTCCTGAGTTCAATTCCCAGCAACCACATGGTGGCTCACAACCATCTGTAATGGGATCTGATGCCCTCTTCTGGTGTGTCTGAAGACAGCAACAGTGTACTCACATACATAAAATAAAAAAAAAAACAAAAACCAAAAAAACTAGTGTTAAGAACAGCATAATTTCGGCCGGGCAGTGGTGGCGCATGCCTTTAGTCCCAGCCCTTGGGAGGCAGGGGCAGACAGATTTCTGAGTTCGAGGCCAGCCTGGAGTTCCAGGACAGCCAGGGCTACACAGAGAAACCCTGTCTCGAAAAACAAAAAACAAAACAAAACAAAAACAGCATAATTTCTTTCTTTCTTTCTTTCTTTCTTTCTTTCTTTCTTTTGGTTTCTTTTCTTTTGAGGGGAGACAGGGTCTCATTATGTAGCCTTGGCTGGCCTGAAGCTCGATATGTAATTAGGCTAACCTGTAGATGTCTGCCCACCTGGCCTATTCAGCGCTGGGATTAAAGGTATGTTGCGCCGGACCAGGCTGAAACAGTGTAATTTCTAATAACCCAAAATGGAAACAAGCTAAATGCCAATCAAATGATAAACAGAAACATACAGATATGGAATGCTCATCCAAAGCTGTTATTCAACAATAAAAAGAAATGAAATAATGCTGCTACATGATGAACCTTAAAAATCTTATCTCAAGTCAAAGAAGCCTGTCACAGAGGACTGCATATTGTAGCAATGTCCAGAATAGGCAAATCACCAGAGACAGAAAGCAGATTTGTGAAGGCCTCAGAACCTGGGGAGAAGAGGTGCAGAAAAGCTATGGTGCAGATCTACTTAGATGATTAAAATAAATAAATACATATATGTATATATATATATATATACACACATACATGTGTGTATACACACACACACACACACATATATATATATATGTCTCAGGGTGGTTCCAGAGATGAGTAAACAGACTAAAAGTAACTTAGTTGTATACTTTAAGTGAGTGAAATATATGGTGGCATGTGACTCATATTTCAATGCTGTCATATTTATTTTGGAGGTGGTTTCAGATCTTGCTACGTTCAGATCTTGAACGTTGGCATGCTTGCACACTCTCTTCATATCTGCCTAGCTCTCTATATATAGTGGGGCAGGCATTTGCTTTTAAACCTATGGCCTCTTGGTACATTTTAGGACAGAATTGAAGAAACTTGGAACTGAAACAGCAAAGCCACAACACAGAACCTATACTGTGGACAGGATTCACTGGAAGTATCTCATTCTATCTAATCTGTGTCATAACAAAAGTCACTAAGGCGTACAGATGTGTTCAAGGTCACTAGTCTGGTGAAGTCAGAAGTTGGGCCCAACCCGAAGTGTCGTGACTCTGGACTGCCATATTCCCCAGATCTCACCTTTCAATCCTATCTGACTACCATGGATCTTGGCTTGGAATGTTTGGGTTTTGTTTCTGTCTGGATCATCTCCGAAGTTCAAAGTGGTCAGTAAGCCGACGACATGAGGACCTTGCCACTTTCCTGTGACTGTCTCATTCATGGGGCACAGACTTAGCTGGCCAAAAGATCTCAAGAAGGAAACCCAATCCTGTGTGTAAAAAGGAGAGTGACAGAGAGGTGAGAAGAGCAGCAGAGGTGGGTATATACCATAAGGGCAAGCACCCCGGGTACTTACCTGGGGAATGTCAGGGCTACGCAGGCCAGTTGTATGGGTGAGGAGGAAGCCACCAAGGCCCAGGCCAGAGAGGCCAAGGAGCAGCAGGATCAAAGTGGCACAGACCAAAGGTGGGTGGTGAGCCACACAGAGATGCAAGTTGTGCCCTGCCTGGCAGCTGCCCATGGGGAGCAAGGGGGTCTGGGCATCCGTGGAGTGCCTGCTGGAGGACAGTAAGAAAGAACTAGACAAGAGTCTGCTAGTCAGAAGGCACTCACCCATGTTATGCAAAGACAAGCTAAAGCTAGAAGACAATGAATTTGCCCAAGGCCACACAGAAAGAGGCAGAGCCAGGATCAAAATCCAAGATTCTGTACTCCAAAAGTTAGCCTCCTTACAACACTTAAAAAAAGTTTTCTTTCGTTTCTGAAATCTCCAAAGGAGAAGCAGGGAAGAGCATTCTGTACTAGCAAAAGGGATGTGAAAAGAATTCTCAGCTGGAGAAAGAGGAAGCAGTTGATCTGGGGTTAGGCTTTGGCAGCCAAGCCAGAATCCAGACCGGAAGTGTCTGGGTTCAGAGTTCCTACTTCGGAGTTAAGCTAACTAGCCAGGTAGGAATGGATGGTGCTCACAAATGCAACCAAGCCAGCTGGTTGTCTGTGAGGTTAGGAGGTCGTGAAAGAGTTCTAAGAACACCAAGTAATGAGGATTCGACTGGGCAGCTATTTGCTCGGTGCGTGGCCATGCAGGAATTCAACAGACGTCCATCTCCTTTCTTTTTATTGGTGTCATACTGATCCTTAAGACCAGAAGCCAGTAGAAGAAACACTGTATGTAGTACAGAGACTCTAACACAGAAGTGGTAGGGCTATGGTCTAAAATCCGTCTCCAACTTCCGAGAACCCTATTCCAGGCAAGAAGCAACAGACTGATGAAAATAAACGTCTAGAAGGTAGGAGACCAGTATAAGGTATGGGGAGAGAGCGTGGGAAAGTGTGGAAGCCACTGGGAAACACGCGTGTCACATATGCTCGGCCCCTGCGTGGCCCCACGTCCCAGCATTTCTGCAAGGGGGAGGGTAGGAGGAGGGAGGGCAGAGCCTGAGGGGCAGTAGCGGCTGGTGCATCTGAGCCTCCCGCCCTCCCCAAAGCCCCCTCCTGAAGGATCTCGACACCCGCATCCCTTCCCGACGCAGCGGCTTCAGGTCGGTTCGCCACTAGCTAGCTCTCACCGCTCGCAGCCGGATAGAGGCCGGCGCCCCGTGACGTCATGGGTGGCGCGGCAGAGAGGCGGGGCCCTTGCTCTCCTGCGCCCGCTCCGGCCCCGCCCCAGTCCGTCCAGATGAGCATGCGCGGTGGCCACGGGGGTGGAGAAACTTGCTGGTTATTCCCAGGCCTGTGTCAGGCCGAACCAAAAGAAAATTCACCCTAGGGGCCAAGTGAAGGAAGTAACTCACCAGGAGGTGCTAAAACTAGCAATAGGCTAGGGAGGCCGTGCTAGCCGTTTTGGACATCTCAGAGTCTCCCTCCCGAGAGAGCGCAGGAAGGTCGGAACCTCATCAAAGTCACTTTTCTGATGTTCGGAACCCACCGGTGCCATTCGCACTCCCTGGCCACCGCCCAGGTTTCCCGGAAAGTCTTGGGATTCTCTGGGAAGGATGGAACTTTACTCCTCCCCTCTGAGAGTAGTGTGTAGGTTCTGTTTTTCTCTGCCCTCTCAAATGCTTAAGGTGTACACATTTTACCCTTGCCCTTTGGCTCTTTTCTTAAGAGGTTCCTAAGGGCCCAGGACCCTAGAAATGCAAGGCTGTTCAACCGGGAGCGAGCGTCTCTTCTCACTCTGTTATCCTTTTAGAGGAATTATCATCTTACCTGAAACAGCATAAGACACGGAGCCAAGAACTCAGGTTCATCCTCACTCTGTCGGTGCAGTCCGGTAACCCCAGCACTCATGAGGTGGAGGTCTGAGCATCAGGAGTTCGAGGCCAGCGTGGGATCCCTCCAAAACCAAACAACAACAAAATGAATAAATCTAATTCTGCATAAGCCATACTAACCATGTTGTCCTGGAGATAAGATTGTCCCCTTTAAAGGAGAACATTTGTTTTGGTTTGGGGAAGGGGCAGAGTCTCTATGCAGATGACATAGAAATCACTTATGAAGACCAAAGTGTCTTTGAACACAGAGATCCACCATCCTCTGCCTCCCTCCTGTGTGCTGGGATTAAAGGTATGGAACATGGTTCTCTAAAGAAGAACATTTGTACCACCAGTTTTAGTTCAGAACAGTTCTCAAAAGATATATATATATATATATATATATATATATATATATATATATATATGTATGTATATATATGTATATATATATATGTATATATATGTCAAAATGAGGTATCATTCATATCCGTTAATATAGCTACCAACAAGAGATCAGAAAATAGGAAGCGTTAGTAAATGTGGACAGATTGGAACTTCAGCTGAACATTGTTGGTAGGAACATAAAATGGTATAACTGTTAAGGGAAAGAATTTGGCTTTTCCTAAAAAGGAAAAATAACAGAAATAGTATTACCATGTGGTTACAATTCTACTTCTGGATATAAAATTACTCCCCAAATTTGAAACAATGTCTCCACGAGACATTTGTATACCCATATTCCTAGCAAGATTATTCACAAGAGCCAAAAGTGGAAACATCCCTAGAATGGAAGATGGCTAATCCAAATGTGGTTCACTCAACACATGAGAGAATATTACTCAACTTTGAAGAGAAAGGGAAGCCATGTATGGTACCGCATGCCTGTGATCCTAGCATCCATGAAGTAGAGGCAGCAGGACAAGGAATTTAAAAGGATACCATCTTTGGCTACATATTGGGGCATTTTATGCTGAGTGAAATGTAAAATGTATCAGTCACCAAAAGACATCAGCAAATGATTCCAAGTATATGAAACAAAGAAGACAATAGTGTATGACCCCATGTCTATGAGGTAACAGCATATGATTCCACCAACATGATATGTACAGGACAATAGCAAATGATTCTCCTGTATGAGATGTATAAACTAAACAAGAGAATGATTCTAACTCTATGAGTTACACAAGACAGCAGTGTAGGATTCCAACTACAGGTAATGCACAACTCACAAGTGTGTGATACCAACAACCTGAGGTGCAGAAGACAATGACATGGGATTCCACTTACATGAGACCCTCAAGACAATAGCATATTATTCAAATTGTATGATATGTACAAGACACTAGCAAATATCTATACAAGATGTATCCATTTACATGAGATCTTTCCACCTGTGCATTATAAATCACACAATAGCGAAGAATTCCACATATATAACATAAGCCAGACAAGATGAGAGCAGATGATTCTACTAATATGTGATGGGAGGATGATTGCTTATGATTACACCAACCTGAGATGCCCAAGACACTGAGCAAATGATTCCACATATATAATATACATAAAGCAATAGCATATGCTTTCAAATGTGTGGAATGTATAACAGTATACGACTCCACTGAGATGCATGTCCCATGACATGCATGAGACAATAGCATACGAATGCCATTTTATATGAATGCTTGTTTATATGAGATAAACAAGATAACAGCAAATTATCCCAACAGTATATGTGTGATGCAGAAGACAGATGTAAATGATATCACTTATACGAGGTGCACAAGACAACCGTGAATGATCGCACTGATGTGTGATGCACAAAACATTGGCGTATGAGTCCCCTCTACGAGATGAATAGAAACAGAGCAAACGATTTCACCTCTATGATATGCACAAGACGACAGTGTGTGCTCCTTCCAACATGAGAGGCACAAGATAGTAAGCGAACGGTTCCACCTATACAAGGTGTGCGAGACAGCAATAGGATTCCACTAGCTTACATGCACAGGGATACAGTTAATGATTCCAGCTACATGACGCACAAGGTGATCGCATACCACGAGATGAAGAAAAATGAGAGTATATGATTCTAGCAACATGAGATGCTTAAGACAATAAGAAATGATTCATTCTGTATAAGATACACAAGAGGATAGCATGTATATGAGAGGTTTAAGACATGAATGCGCCGGGCAGTAGTGCTGCACACCTTTAATCCCAGCACTTGGGAGGCAGAGGAAAGATTTCTGAGTTTGAGGCCAGCCTGGTCTACAGAGTGAGTTCCAGGACAGCTAGGGCTATACAGAGAAACCCTGTCTTGAAAAACCAAAAACCAAAAACCAAAAAAAAAAAAAAAAAAAAAAAGACATGAATGATTCCATTCTATGAGATACACAAAAATATAGTGTATGATTCCACTGACAGGAGATGTACAAGATAATAATGTATGGCTCGACCTATGTGAGATAACATCTCCTATAGTGGATGATTCTACTTCTTGAGCTGCACAAGATAGCAACTGATACCAAGACAAGAGCATAAGACGCCATCTGTAAGCTGGGCAGTGGTGGCGCATGCCTTCAATTCCAGCACCTGGGAGGCAGAGGCAGGCAGGTTTCTGAGTTCAAGGCCAGCCTGGTCTACAGAGTGAGTTCCAGGACAGCCAGAGCTACACAGAGAAACCCTGTCTCGAAAAACAAAACAAATGAACAACAACAACAAAACTCAAAAAGATGCCATCTGTATATGACCCTAAAACCAATACTGGTGGGAGTAATAATGCATGCCTCTAATTTCAGCATTGGAGAGGCAGGGGCAGGAGAGGCAGGAGGGGCAGGAGGGGCAGGAGGGGCAGGAGGGGCAGGAGGCAGGCAGATCTCTGAGTTCGAGGCAAGCCTGGTCTATAGAGTGAGTTCCAGGACAGTCAGGGCTACACAGAGAAACCCTGTCTCGAAAAACAAAACAAACAAGCAAAAAAAAGAAAATAGCATATAATTTCATCAGTATGATATGCACAGGGCAATAAGCAAATTATTCCACCTATATTACATGCAATAGGTAATCAGGCACAATTCCACCAACATAATATGCATAAGAACATTGTTGGGGGCCAGATGATCTACAATTCCTTTTTTGGGCATAAACCTTGACCCATATGTGACCTTGTGACTGTGGGAAAACTTCAGGCATGACACAGAGACTAAGAGGAACGTCCTCTGGGGCAAAACAATATTCCAGCAAAATGAGACGCACAAGAAAATGTTGAGTAATTCCACCTATACAAAATACAAAATGCAATATTTAATGATTCCACCTGTGTGAAATTCTGTGAACATGAACTGCACAAGGCAACAGTGTGTGACTGCAACAAAAGAAAATGCACAGGAAGATAGCAGACAACCCCAACTCTGTGAGATATAAAGACAACAGGGAATGAATGACTCACCTATACGCAATAGAAAAGAAATAGCATCTGATTTCAGCGGCATAAGGTGCACAGGACAATAGTGAATGATTCCTACTCTCCAAGATAATAAGAGCGTGAGTGCGCCTCTATGGGAGGCACTAGACAACAGCACACAGTTCTGCACGGACTCCACAGCACAAGACCTTATTATCTCACTGTGTGAGTGACAGTCAATGCGGAGTCAAAAAGTGATGGCTGCTAAGGCCTGGAGAGAGGAGGTGACTGCAAGTTATTATTTAATAGATTCAAACTTGAATGCTTGCTGGCCAGAGGCGGAGGCAGAGGCAGGTGAATTTCTGTGTTTTTGAGGGCAAGCTGGTCTATATAGCAAGTTCCAGGCCAGTTAAGGAAACAAGCCAAAGCCTTGTCTCAATAAAGAAAAGAACAGAAGTTTTACTTTTGCCCAGTGAAGTATCTTGGACATGGGTGGTGGAAATAATTGTCTGTAATCACTACTAGCAAGTGATACTAGTGAATGACATTCTTAAAATGGTGAAACCCACACTGGTAAGTTGTTCTGTGCCCTTAGGCTCAGTGCTCTGGAGGTTGAGGCAGGAGGGTTGCACAAGTTCAGTGCAAGCCTAAGCTACATAGCAAGATCCTGTCTCAAAAAGAGGGGGTTGTGTGGTAGAGAAGCGCACACACTGCTCTTCCCAAGGACCTGAGTTTGACTCCCAGCACCCACCCACATCAGGCACCTCACAGCCACCTGTAACTTCGGTGACAGGGAGCTGACACCTTTGCCCTCTGTGTCCCCTTCACAAAAACTGGCACACAGACACACAGACACACACACACACATATACATAATTAAAACTAATAAAAAAATGTGGCAATAATAACTTCTTATGTATATTTTATTACAGTTAAAAATAATAGGGCTGGGGGCTGGAAAGATGGCTCGGCGGTTAAGAGCACTGACTGCTCTTAACTTCCAGAGGTTCTGAGTTCAGTTCATTACAGGTGGCTCACAACCATATGTAATGGGATCTGATGCCCTCTTCTGGTGTGTCCAAAGATAGCTACAGTGTATTCATATACATAAAACAAATAAATCTTTTTTTGTTTTTTGTTTTTGGGTTTTGTTTTTTGTTTTTTGTTTTTTGTTTTTTGTTTTTCGAGACAGGGTTTCTCTGTGTAGCCCTGGCTGTCCTGGAACTCACTCTGTAGACCAGGCTAGCCTCGAACTCTCGAACTCAGAAATCCGCCTGCCTCTGCCTCCCAAGTGCTGGGATTAAAGGCGTGTGCCACCACCGCCCTGCATAAATCTTTAAAAAAAAATATATGTATATGTATATGTATATGTATATGTATATGTATATGTATATGTATATGTATATGTATAAATAAATAATAGGTCTGGAAAGATGGCTCAAACATCAAGAGGAATTGTTCTTGCAGAAGGCCTGGGTTCAGTTCCAAGGGCTCACACAGCAGCTTGTGCTCTCCTGCAGTTCCAGGCCAGTCACGGCTACAGAGCCAGACCACGGTCTCAAAAGGGAGGGATGGTGGTGGCTAGAGAGATGGTTCAATAGTTAAAGGCATTTGCTGCAGCCGGGCAGTGGTGGTGCACGCCTTTAATCCCAACACTTGGGAGGCAGAGGCAGGCGGATTTCTGAGTTCGAGAGTTCAAGGCTAGCCTGGTCTACAGAGTGAGTTCCAGGATAGCCA